TCTTCCGAAGATACTCCAGGAAGCCTCCCTTCCAGAACGGGCCCACTGTCCACTGTCCGGCCTGGTGTCAGATTCCAGAGAGTGAAGGGCACAGGGCGAGACCATTGTCATGGGTCTTATTCTGCACAGTCAGGGCTACTGCTTGGCAGCCCAGTGGCTGTCGGGGGACTCACGAGGGTTTCCGGTTGGAACCTTTAAGAGAAACGGCCTGGCCTCACCTTTGCTAGTTCTGTGCCCAAGGCTGTCACCCTCCCGGATTATGGATCACAGGAGGGCTGCTGATGGGCCCTGGGAGACGGTGCAGGGTCCCTCTGATAGACTCCGGCTTTGTGCTGATCAAACCCCACCCATTTCCCGCAGGAACAGTTCTGCAGGTCTCTTTCGGACAGGCCGGGGTGGGAAGGTGGGCTGAGGCCTCGGCACCCAGCCCAGTCTCCAAGGGCACGGCCCCCGGCACTGCTCACTCCCAGCAAGGAAGAAACCCACAGGCGCAGACCGGTGTTGGAGAGCGTCTTTATTAAGGGGCAGCAGAATGGGGTCGCAGCATCTGAGAAAGCCTGTTTTCCGCCATGGTGGGGGCGGGGTGGGCAGGAGGAGGACCCGGCGCACTCCGAGGAACCAGGTGGGGGCGAATTCCTGAGTGAGCACAGGTCCGCGGTGGTGGCTGGTGGCTGCTCCTGCTCCGTGCAGCTCCTCTCGGTCAGAGGACCCAGCCTTTCGGTTCTGGAGCAGCCAGGCTGCCCCCCAGCTTGCTCAGAGCCTGTGCGGAGGCCATGGCTGGGAGAGCAAGCTGCCCAGGCCTGAGGGAAGGACGCCCACGGCCTCAAGGGCCAGGCCCCTGCTGCCGGGGCGAACCATGGGGTGCCAGGGCCAGGGCTGAGAGTCCCTGAGGGGCTGACGACACGAAGTCTCCTCCCGCGGTGAGCAGAGAGCAGTGAGGGGGTGACAGGCAGGCAGGGCGACGTTGGCAGAAACATGAAGCGATGGGACAGTGTCCAAGAGTGGCATTATTTCTGGATTCAGAGAAGCAACGAGAACAAATGGTGGCTTGTTTGGATAGCTTCTGACAGATTTTGGCATTTTATTACAAATCGGAGTGTGAGTGAGATGAAATCCATCCCCGCCTTTCTGCTAATGGAGACAGGGGAGGAGACGCTGGCCCGGCGCTGCCGTCCCGGCACACGGAGTCTCCGGAAACCTGCCCTCTCGGACCTGGGACACCGCGGGGGGCTGTGCGCCCGGACAGCTGGACGGTGACGCCACCTGCCCTACCCCTCGCCTTCCGCTCCGTGCCGGTGATGCCCAGCTGTCTCACACGTCGGTGAGCCTCGGAGAGATTGCAAGTTAACAGAACGAAAAGGAAAACACAAAGCAACATTTCCTGAAGTCATCTTCTCCACAGGATCTAGGCCCCCCGAGAGCCAAGGAGGGAAGCCACCCAAGGCAGGGAGAAGCAGAGTTGGTGACACGCGGCCCATGGATGGTCAGCTTCCTCTGGGGGGATCAGGGTGGCATGTACTCTCTACCATCTCAGGGACAGTCCCTCTTTCCTCGAAAAGACATGAACAGTCAAGTCCTTACAAGTTCATCTGATGAGAAATTCTAAGGTCAATTTTTATTTCTACAAAAGAAAGGCAGTCAAAACAATATAAAACACATTTAAAGGATATTACCAGGGTGAGCTTCGGTGGGGCCTGACTCTGCCAAGGCTGAGTCCAAGGGGAGAGGGAAGGCCGTCTTGCTGTGTCCAAAGACAGGGGCCAGCAGGGCGCCGGCGACCCCAGACCGTGGCAGAGTCCTGCCAATCCGATCCTGCAAAGGGGCACAGGTGCTGCAGGCGGGCTGTGGTGGGGCTGCTGCCCGGAGGCGTTGGCGGGTGAGCTCCGTGGCACGTTCCTGGGAGCTGGGTGCCAGATGAGCGTGGAGTTTCAAGTGGGCATCCTGGCTCTGGCCTGGCCTGCGACGGCCAGCGATCTTCTAGCATGGCTACAGGGAGGGCTGCCAACGTGCCCCAGGAGGCTTTCTGGCGAGAAACGCATCCCCCACGTGCACGGCGTCCTCTGGCTGGCAGGCCCTCCCTTCGGGGTGACCGCAGGCCTGGTATCTTATTGCAGGGTGTTCCTAGGCAGGCCAGGCCACAGTCCAGCGCGTGGGCTGACGAGGGGGTGCGCCCACGTCCCACGTCCCACGTCGTCAGAGGTCCTGTGAGCCTAGCTGGAGTCCTGGCAGACAGCTGCCCTCCCTTCCACGGCTCGGGGGAGGGGGGAGGGTGTGGGGCTGTGACTGACTGGCTTGTTTTACGTTTTTTAAAGGCTGTCATAAACTGTAGAGTCAGGAGGATGTGACCACCTCCCGCGTGGGTGATGTGGCACTTTTAGAAGGAGCCACCGGTCGTCTCTTCTTTGCGGAGGAGACGGGGCCTGAGTCTGGGGAGTGACTAAGAGAAGGTAAACTGAGTGCGAGAAAGGGGGGGCTGCAAGGGTAGGGGAGGAGGGGAAACCACAACCTTTTTTTTTTTTTTCTTTTTTTCTTTTAAATCTTATAGGCTAAATGTTACTTGAAGATTTTGGGTAAATTTGGACAAGAAAAGAAACACCATTCTTTTGAAGTAGATTGAAGCAGTGATTTTTAAAACAAAGAAAGCAGAACTAGAACATCTTAAATTTTTAATCCTTTCTTTACAGGTTACCTAGACCACTTTTGATTAAGAAAACTGTAGAAAGTTAGTAACTGCCACAAGCGAACGCCAGGCGGTGGCCCGTGTCAATTTTCCACAGAGTCCTGCTTTGCGGGGTGTCTGATGCACTGCTCGGGGTCTCTGCTCACACTTGCTGGGATCAATCGTGGCAGATTTTAGTCCACAGGTCGCTTTTCCCCATATTTCTTTGTAAACTCTTCAGCGTTCTTACAGAATTTTTTACGGTCCTTAGAGTATTCTTCAGCTAGGTCAGCCCGGAGGGGGTGCTCGGGCTGGGGGTCGTTCACCAGTGCTATGAGGGACTGGATTACTGCCAAGAGAAGGACAAGGCACCGGGGTTAGGTCAGTCTCGGAAAGGCATGGCGAGGGGCAGCTAGTGCCAAGAACAAACGCTGGATTTAACACGTGGAACATCAGCACGTCACGATTATGCCGACTGGGCGTGGCAACAACAAAGATAAAGCAGCTCCTGTCACCCAAACTGACCACCAGAACGTCTCCCTCTGTAACCGCGGGATCCCTAAGGCCGAGCAGCCAGCCCTCCTCCCGCATAGGGGCATAGCCAGCTGCAATCCCTGCTCCATTCTCTTCCAGGGATCTCACGAACACATGCCCAGCATGACTTTGCACCCAAGGGTCCGGGACTGGAACTGGAGTTGGCCAGGTGGGAGTCCAGCAACGTAATCACTGCACCAGCTCCTGGTGCCCCATCTTACCCCCCCCCTTTTTTTTTAAGGACATTTTTGCTATAGGGCACATGTGCTCACCAGAGAGACAGAAAGTGAGAAACCGCCCCCCAAGAGGGATGGCCATGCTGCCATCTCTTCTCCTCCATTCTCTCGGGATCTTGGGGACGCACACACACACCAGGCATGATTTTGAAGCCATCGGATCTGGGACGCGAATCGCAGTTGGCCATGTCGGAGTCCAAAAGTGGCACCGTTATGTCACCTGCTGGCCCCTCCTCACCTTGCCTTTTTTTTGGTGTGTGGAGAGGTTTTGCTATAGGGTGTATGTGCTTTCCAGGAAGGACAGACAGAGACAGAGAGACAGAAAGTGAGAAATCAGCCCCAAGGGAGGATGGCCACACCGCAATCCCTTCTCCTCCATTCTCCTCTCGGGATCCTGGGCACACACGCACCCGGCATGAGTTTAAGCCACTGGGTCCGGGACTCGAACCGTGGCCAACTACATGGGAGTCCAGTGACATAGCCATTACGCTAACTGCTGGTCCCTCCACCTTGATTTTTAATACAAATATTTTTGAAAGGAAAAAGGTGTTAGTGACGCACATGGAAAATCACTTTAATGTGCCACGAACAGATGGCATGGCTTAGAACTGAAATAAGCGCCCAAGGCCCCCTCCTCTCGACCAAGTCCGAAAGCACCACCCTGGGGGACACAGACACATCCTTCCAAGGGACACTTTCACAACTGCTCTAAAAATTCTGCCCTCGGCTATTGGACAAAGATGCATGAGGGGTCAGGAAGTTCATGGAAAACCCGTACTATGAAAAATGTATGCACGATTTCTTTTCTGAGGGCGTCCAAATAAACTCATACTCTCATTCCATTTTCCCCACAATCTTTTTGAAGTTCTGTTAGCTATTGGTGAGCTGTCCCATGTCACACTCCAACGTGAGACTGCTCTTTGCCTTTGTCGTTCTTGGTTTCGGGCTTGGAAACGTGAACAGCACTTGCCTGAGACCATAAATAGGGGGCTGACTGCCTTTCTCTGTGATTAGAAATCGTTCTGTAACAGGAAAAGTAGCCTTTAAGGAATCTCATGTTTCAGGCTGAGTTCTTGGTGGGGGAGACTTTCTGTCTCTCTGGCGAGCACACGTGCCCTATAGCAAAACCTTCTCTCTCTCTCTAAAAAAAACCCAAAAAACCAAAAAGAAACAAACAAAAAAACGACTTTGTAAACACTTAAAAGTTTGCTATTTGTCTATAGGACCTCAAAAAATTATTAAGAGTAGAATGAAAATACGAGTTCATTTTTGGACAGAAACAACTGAAATCCATGCATTTTTTCCCTTAAAAATTATATTATTTAACTTTATTTATTTATTTAAATTTGGCAAGAGAAAAAAAGCAAACCGTCAGGTCTTTCGGGATCTGAACCGCAGCTGACCATGTGGGAGTTCAGTGTCCTTAGCACCCCATGGCCACACCACAATCCCTTCTCCATTCTGCTCATGGGATGTTGCACACGCACGCACAAGCGCCCGGCGTGAGTTTAAGCCACCGGGTCTGGGACTCAAGCCACGACTACACGGGAGCCCAGCAACATAGCCATTATGCCAACTGCTGGTCCCACACGTTACTTTTATAATATACACCTTCATAAACTTTTCTGTGACCTCACTTTTATTTATTATTTTAAAATAATTACTTCTTTTAAAACCATTATTTTATTCAACTTTATTTATTTAAATTCAACCAAAGAGAGACAGAGAGAGAGAGGGGAAGTGAGAAAGCAAGCCGCCAGATCCAGGACTTGAACCACACTTGGCCATGTGGGAGTCCAGCGCCCTCAACCACCACACCACCTGCCAGCCCCATAAAATATTTGATGAATTACTATTATTTTAATTTGCTATGGGACATGCACACTCACCAAAGAGAGGCAGAGAGGGGAAGTGAGAAAACAAGCCTCCATGTGGGAGTCCAGGGCCCGAACCACCACCCCACCTGCTGGCCCCTACTTTTTTTTTTGGAGAGGTTTTTGCTATAGGGCGTGTGCGCTCGCCAGACAGACAGAGAGACAAAAAGTGAGAAATCAACCCCCAGGGGTGATTCCATTCTCCTCCATTCTCCTCTTGGGATCTTGGGCACGCACGCACACGCGCCCGGCATGAGTTTTAAGCCACCGGGTCCGGGATGCGAACCGCAGTCGACTACGTGGGAGTCCAGCGACATAGCCACTACGCCAACTGCTGGTTCCCCTGGCCCCTTCTTTGACTGATGTGATCAAGTCTAGATATCTCCACATTGTCGTTGCGGTTCAGGTCAGTGTTCACACCTTCTCTGTCCCTGGGGTGCATTCTGGCTCCTCGGCCACACCACGGGAAACGTCATCGAGCTGACCCTGAGTGGCTAGCGAGAACGCGCCAGCGGCGGCTGCTTTCTCCACACGGCCAGCGCTCTTCACGCTCGAAGATGGCCCTGCTCTGCCTTCCTGATCTCTTCCTTGGAAGTATTTTCTTCTCCAAAATGTAGGGGCTCAAAACATACACTACATTTTCTCCTTTGTCGATTTCTTAAAAACTAATGATTAATTTTAATTTTATTCATTCATTTTAATTTGACCAGAGAGACAGAGACAGAGAGAAAGTGAGAAAGCAAGCCACCAGGTCTAGGATTCAAACGGTGGTCTACCATGTGGGAGTGTCCAGGGCCTTAACCACCATGACACCTGCTGGCCCCCCCCCACATTTTACCTCCTACTCTCATTGTCTCACAGAGAATAAAGCTATAAAAAGCTATAAAATCTCCTCTTTTTCCCTCTGAGGCCAGCAGCCGGTGTGATGGTTAAAGTGTTGAACTCCCACGTGGCCGAACGTGGTTCAAGTCCTGGACCCAGCAGCTTTTTCTTACTTTCTCTTGAGAGACTGTTTTTATTAAAAAATAATTATTTTTACTTAACTTTATTTATTTATTTAAATTTGATGAGAGAGAGAGAGAGGAAGGGAAGGAGAGGGAGGGAGGAGAGAGTGACAAAGCAAGCCGCCAGGTCCAGGACCCAAACTGCAGTCAGCCATGTACTTTATTACTGACTGCATTTTTAAAAAATATATTAATTTATTTAATTCCATCTTTTATTTTTAATATATGACCAGACAGAGAGAGAGAGAGAGAAAGGGAAAGTGAGAAAGCAAGCCAACAGGTCCGGGACATGAACCGCGGTTGGCCATGTGGGAATCCAGCACCTTTAACCACCACTCCACCTGCCAGCCCCACTGACTGCATCTTCGATAGTAAATCTCATTAACCACTAAACGAAACCTTTGTTTAATTCTAAAATATTTCTTAGAACCAAATACTGCTGAGCAGACTGTAGTACGTTCTTTCTGCTGCATTACTTTTCTGCGGGGCCGAGTTTTGCCTTGTTTATGGACTTTTCTAATGCTGTTTTATATATATATATTTTTTTTTTTTGGGGGGGGAGGTTTTGACTATAGGGCGCGTGCGCTCGCCAGACAGAGAGAGACATAGAGACAGAAAGCGAGAAATCACCCCCCAGGGGGGATGGTCACGCCGCAATCCCTTCTCCTCCATTCTCCTCTCGGGATCTTGGGCACGCACGCACACGCGCCCGGCGTGAGTTTTAAGCCACCGGGTCCGGGACGCGAACCACAGTCGACTACGTGGGAGTCCAGCAACGTAGCCATTACGCTGACTGCTGGTCCCCATGCTGTTATATTTTTGCTTGTTTTCTTTTGGGGGAGATTTCCGCTGTAGGGCGCATGTACTCGCTGGAGAGACAGAGAGAGATAAAGTGACAGAAAGCAAGAAATCACCCCTCAAAGGGGATGGCCACGCCACAATCCCTTCTCCTCCATTCTTTCCTCTTGGCATTTTGGGTGTGCACTGGGACTTGAACCACAGTCAACTAACTCCGTGGGAGTCCTGCAACGTAACCAATATGCATCTGGCGGCCCCAGCTTGTCTCCCCTTTTAAGACAAGGTCTTGCTAGGTTACAGTCTCCGTGCCCCCGTCTCTCAGTCTCTGGGACGACGGGTGCGCACCACTACACTTGGCCTTTAGGGTGGACCAGGAGTTGACCCCGGCCCCCACATGGCTCAGATGGCTGAGCAGCAGCCGACCAGTTCAAACCACCTCTGCTGGGCTCCACTTGTAATGCGTCTGTACTATCTTTCTATTTCAAAACTTGAAATAGAAATTCATATATCAAGAAATAAATCCCCCCGCTAGGTTTTTACCATAGGGCATGTGCGCTCGCTAAAGGGAGACAGACAGAAAGTGAGGAAGCACCTCCCAGGGGGATGGCCACGCTGCAATCCCTTTTTCTCCTCTCAGGATTTTGGGCACGCATGCACATACACCAGTGTGACTTTCAGGTCACCCGGTTTGGGACGGCCATGTGGGAATCCAGTACCTTAACCACTATGCCACTTGCTGGCTTTAACATAAACCCTTCTAAAAGCATATAGTTTTTTTAAAAACCTATTTATTATTATTTTTTAATCTGACCAGAGAGAGACACAGAGAGAGAGAGAGAGTGAGAAAATGAGGAAGCAAGCCACCAGGTCTAGCACTTGAACCATGGTGAGCCATGGTCCTGT